TTAACGATAATTAATTAGTCAACGGCCTATTTAACAATAAATAATGAAAAAACCAAACTCATCAATGGCAGAAACGGATAAACTACCACCATTTCGTTAGGTCCACATGTGTGATTACAAAGAAAAAGTTTAATTTTATTAGTTCATGGAATTAAAGCACGATTCTAACGGTCTCTGCAACAAGTCACGTAACAGCAACAGAGAGAACACACTACGAAGCACATCTACATTAATTAAGGGCAATTCCTAAAGGAAAACTATGCAAACAAACTAAAAGCATTAAAGTTAAGCATGACTGGAAGTTACAACACACAACAGGAAAGATCATTATGTGCAGCTACTTTATTATCCATTTATTATTATTAGCTGGAAAATAATGTCATCTGATGAACATATTAAGTGCTGCGATAACACCTCACGTTCACCAGCCTGTGTTGCTTGTGCGATTTCAGCAGTTCACATTTTGAGGAAGATGTGACAAACGTAAACCAGTCCACACACTCTGGCTCACTCTGGTGTCCAGCAGTGCAGGAGGATCAGGGCTGGGGTGCGAGGAACGCCACGGAAAGCCCACAGTGGCTCAAAAATGAGTTTTCCAGGAGGAAAGGGGCAGTAGCACCACCACCACCACCACCACACAGAGCAAACACGCTGGGGTGTAATACTGCAGTGAATTCTAACAGGGAAAAAACGGTCCCTGTTTATGCAATTACTGGTTTAACTGGAGGAAGAAAAGGTGTCACAAGCAGACACTACAGAGATTGGTTTGTTTAATACAAATAAAGGCCAAGACGACTGCATTAAAAAGTACATAAGACCAACACTGTGAAAAGAAAAACCAAACCCCAAGTGAAGTGGGGTTATCACCATGTGCCACAGAACAGGTGGGGCTAAACAGCCACTGATACACTCAGGTATGTGTCAGGAATTGAATTCCTCACAGCTGTTTGGGTCACCAAAAGTTTTCCAGCAACAGGAAAGGCAAAAGCCTGCTGGCTGGTAAAGCAAAGCTCAAGTTGGTGAAGGGCTTTAAATTAAACAAGAGCCAGGCAACCAGAAAGCCACTTTCGTGTCTGTCTTCCAACAGGAGTAGAAATACGATGCGAACCGGACTTTGTTTTCTGACAAATACACTGAGATTTTTAAAAGCATAAAGGAAAAAAAAAAAAAATCAAACAAACAGAGCTCCACCTCCTAGTCCACAGCTTTTACAAAAAGTTGTAAGAGTTCAAAGAAACAACAACAAAAAAACCCACAGACATCACATGTCCTACAACAAAAATAATTCACATTTTCCTCCCACTCAAACCTTCAGGGAATGTGCCCCAGGCAACCAGGCCTGTATAGGAACTTAAGTAATATCAGGTAGGACAAGCACTCACTATTTAAACAGATGTCAGGCTTCTTCAGCCACTGCCTTGGGAACACACTTTTGCTCTCTAATTACTACTATTTACGATTTTTCATTTCATTTTTTGAAAGTTAACTTTTAATCTCTGCTTTACCACAAAACAGAATTTCCTTACAAAAGAAAACTTCTGAAAAGCAGCAGAAATAAAGATTAGCCTCAGTTTGTGGTTAATATTCCTCCCATTAGTGACCTCTCTCCCATCTGTCACAGATACGTCCGAGATACTTCACATAATCAGAAATGCTAGCAATACTTTCTACATAGGTCAGAATTATAACCCTGAGTTTTCAAAAGGCAGTGTTTTGTTGTGCTCTTAGAAATAATACCAAAAAATTTGATTTATTTCCTCATAACAGAAATATAAAATAAAACGTAAGAAATTAAAATGGCTTCTTCTAGAAACACAGAGATTCTGCTTCCTTTTATCACCAACATTTTTCAGTGTTTTTTACCTCTGTAATGGCAAATATTTAATTCAACACTCCATTTGTACAGTGTACGTACAGGCGTGCATAGTTGCACTTCAACGTTGTCGATACACAATCCAGGATGCAATATTTCCATGTTAAATTTTAGTGGGGGAAAAAAAAAAAAAATCACTTTTCATTCCTAGCTTTGTAGTCAGAAATAGCTGCTCATCACTGCTGCGGGGCATGGACTCATTTCTGGAGTTTACTTCAACTAAACGTATAGCAAAAGAAGTCACTGGTTGGGAGAGGAGGGGGGTCCTTTTTCCAGCTCTATGACACAGAAATGATGGAGGATGCAGGCAGCGTAGAGTACCAACCAACCAGGAATTGCAGTTATGCACCAGTTTTGTTGCACTGCAAGCAAGCAGAATACAGTGGTGGTCCTTATCTTCACATTATTTTGATGGGTAGGGAGGAATTGTTTTCCCACAAGACACCGAAAATCTCTAATATAGGCTTGTATGCTATTTGCAGTCAAGACAAGAAAGCCCACGTTTACCACATCAGATGGTACTGGGTCCTCTGGTGTATCAGTTTCTCAGTAAATCAACGCTTTCTGGATTCTTCCCATCGTTTCCTCTCTGTTTCAAGTCCCAGGCTTGACCTGCCACGAACTCAAGAAACAACCACTTTCAGGAAGAGCTCCTTTGAGTCACAGTAGGTGGGAAGAATAAATGGCCGTATTAATCGTATGGCTCCAAATCCTTGGAAATGAGTGGCTCAGTATCTTCTGCTGTACTTTGTGCAGACTGCGGGGCCGCAGCTGCCAGGCTCTGTATAGTCTCTTGCTGATGCTGCTTTGCCTTGTTATACAGTAGCACTCCAATTATCACTAGAACGGTCCCAATGGCCGAGAGGCTTGTGATTTTGTTACCAAACACAATAATACTTAGCCAGATCGACAGCGCATGCTTCACAGTACTAGCAACACTGCAAAGGAACATAAAAATGAAGGTCTAAGAAAGCTTTCTCATATCTCACATACAACCATGCTTCAATGTAGCAGGACCTCTCTTTGTTTTCCTTGCTTTTCAAACACCAACTCAAATTCCACTTTTCTTCCTGAAGCTTACACCATAACCAAATTGCTTGTATGTCAGCACTCCTATCTTTACACTCATCTCGGTTTTAGAGCTAGTACGAGTAAGTCACCTCAGGTGTTTGTTTTCGTGGCTTTTCAGTATGCAGTACAGCATTAGCATTTCTGGCTAACACAGGCATCCAGAAAATGCTAACACAACACCAGCAACGTAAATGTCCTTGGCAAGTCTGCTGCCGCTATTCAGGTAATGCAGCATTCTAACCTGAAAAAAATCAATATCTAAACCAACAAGTAGTTAAGAAACTATATACGTGTAAATATGAATATATGCTTTTACATCCTGTTATTTAGAGACTCCTAACAGCTTCTGACAGCAGAAGCCTTCAGAGTTCAGGGCCAGGATTGCCCCACAGGCCCTAGGGCTATTGATCCAAGTGACCAAATATTGAATCGGAGTTGTGTAACAGCCTAACAACACTGCCAATACCTGACAACATAGGTGGAAGCTGTCTTTAGAGAACACGTGTAATTCAGCAAATACAGCCTGACCTGCTGGTGTCACCCTTCAGAAACGGTTTTGATGATCTGGACGTGAAAAGTGTGCATTATTTATTTCTTTGCACAATACCTTGACCACCCCAGTTCTAAAGCAGAAATACCAAGCAAGAAAAATAAAAAAAAGAAAATAGAGTGTTCCTGACATGAAAACACAATTCTACCTGAAAGTCACAGGAGAGATTTTTCCCATCAAGGCATAGGCTGTAACACTTTGTAGGTGGAACAAGACTCCATCTATTAGGAGAAGTATGACAATGTCTTGGTTGTAGCTGAAGCTCCTCCCACTTTTCCCAATCACGGGCACATCCTAAACAACAACAAAAAGGACTTTAAGAGTTTAGTTTATAAGCAAATCTAAAAGTGATTTTCCACCCAACTCATTATTATTATTGTAAGCAGAGAGTTTTTTCATTTAAACTTCAGCGAAACAAAAATGGAAAACATAGAGGACATTTGGATTCTACAAACTTTCCCCAAAAAAGAATATATTAGAAAACCTGACTGAACTTTGCAGTGTGTTCAGCCTCTGTTCACAAGTCAAAAAGAAAACATAAATCACTGTTAATGAATTCAGATTACCATGAAAAATATCCAAGCTGGAATAAGCATAACCACTGCAGCAGCACTTGTGTAGAACTGAAGCTCTGGGGCTCTACAAAGCAGAGAAAAACAATTACTAACATGATTAAAAGTTTCCTCTCTCTTAGAGCTGAAAAAAGCTGCATCATGACTGTATTTACAGATATCTGGAAGTAATAAAAGCCATCTACGAAGCTTTGGGGACAACAAATTCAGCAATCTCTTGCAAAGACAGCGTTTTGCTCTTTGTGTTGGCTGAGAGAGCCTGAAGATAAAAGGCACAAGCTTTCAAGATCAGACTGGCATTTCATCTTGCTGGAAGATACGTACATGTAGCTATGCATACATACAGGTATATTTTACCACAAGATTTTATTTCTGGCTCATGTTTTGTAGTTAAAACATCAGGCAGGTTCCCAAGTTCGTTTCTGCATGCCTAATAACGTTAAGGGATGTTTTATGATTGCAGAGTAAGGAATTATTTCTGGATGTGCTGACAGTTTTAGCTGATTCTGAGACTGACCTACCACAGTGGATCTGACCATGAAGGAGTTCTTCTTTCCCTGATAAAATGATTTAGGTTAAAGCTGTCAGTAAACAGCCTAAGGGAAAAAAAGTATCTTGGCACAATATAATAATAAATCTACAGTTTGTTACGTAGCCCAGAGTCTATCTATAATCATGCCTGAAATATTTTTAATACTTACGAAAATCTGTATTTATCTCCACTGAGTAGTTTCTTGGAAAAGACATTTTGCAAACTGAAAAAAAACCCAACAAAACAAGACCACAAATCACCATTTATCTGTATTTTAGTTATGGCAAAGAAATGAAGCCATGAGAAAGACAGTTGTTTCCCTTAGGTAAGTAGGTATGTTTTCTACACATTTCCCATTCTACACATTGTGCAGTTACAGAAAGGAGTTTGGCCTAACTCCTTTAGACTAATGAAGCTGTACTACTTTTTAATCTCACGAATGCTAGCAGGTATGACAGAGAAACTATCTTCTGTTAAAAATAAACCTAAAATAGCAACATTTAAATGTAGTGTGCAAAGACAACTACAGGTAACAATTTTCTTCAGTCTACCAATAAACAAAATTACTTTGTTCCACATCTGCAACCGTCCTCATGCCTTACCAGTCCATGATATTAGTGGATAAAGCTGCCGAGAAACCTAGAATGTTGAAACTGATTTCAGTAGCTGTGCATAGAGCCAGCCCACCCATGACAGGAATGAGAGAGAGATTAACCAGCAATCCTGCAAACGAAAACACAAAAATTCAGGCTGAGTTTAATTACTGCACTCTCAATTACATGCAATACAGGTTTTGAAAGTTTAAATTCCACCTTAACTTCTTTAGTTGAAAGAAAGAGCACTTTATTTGACTCTTCAAGCAAATAGCATGCAACTGCAAGTGGAATTGCAAAGAAACTACATTGTGGACTGGAAGAAATTATATAGTGGCAAGCCAGTTGGTTGGGGTTTTTGTTGTTGGTTTTTTAAAATTTAATCACAGAGTGAACACAGTGACAAAAATCAAGACTTTTCAGCTCCGAGCAGCAAGCTGTCCTTAGAAGGAACACACTTCATTAAGTTATTTAACATTTCTGTGACAGAAAAATAACTTCAGTGCAACAATGTCCACACACAGCTGCATTAAAAGAAATCCTTTTTTACTTTATATAGACTCTACTTACTGTGTTCAAACAAAATTATTCTTCCAGCTCCATTTACTATATTTCGGTGGAGTCTCCTCATCCATGGCCAACTGAGTGACAGTATTATTTACAAAAACAAAACCCAAACCAAAAAAATCCCCCCAGCCCATCCCATTTCAACAGAGGTACTTACCAGTGTATTCTCCTAATATCATCCGAGACATGATAACCGTAAAAATAGGTGCAGAGCTTTTAACAGTTTCTGCAAATGAAACTGCCACGTTTTTCAAGCTGACGAGACCCAGGACAACTGTTGCAAATCTGTAATAGAAGAACACATGAAATGAAGGAGAAATGAAGGCACCCTTGGGCAACTGTACAATTTCTATGGATGTACAGTGGACGTCCAGAGTTTACTTTTTGATGCACTCCAACCAAGCTTCAGATGGCAGCGTTTTAAGCTCAAGTTTTCAATAGACTCAGCTGAAGAAGTACAATTCTGCTGATAAACAGTAATTCACCAAGGAAATGTTACCATTTGCAGTCACCCGTCTTTAGTGGATACATTTACACTACATATTTACATACACTGCGTATTTACCACTACATACTTTATGAAATCAAACAGGGCAGCAGAGTTATTACGATAAAGTTACTCTAAATTAATGTGAATCTTGCTATCCTTTGTCACTTTTACATAAATAAAACCTTCTATTCTTATTCTCTCCTAGACCACAAACTGCACACAGCAAATACTTACTTAAGAGATAACAGTTACAAGCCTGTATCACTTCTGAGGCAAATTGCTGGAAAAGGTGAGGGAACAAAGCAGCATGGTAATAAATATCAGTACCCTAAACAAACATCGGCCTCAAAGGAGAACGGGAAGAAAGTAAATGGAAAGAGAAGTATGTTCTGAAAGAAGCTAAATGTGATGGGAAGCCAAGCTAGCCAAAAACCTGACATCTGGAAAAAGAAACAACATTTAGCAGTAGGAACTAAAAAGAAAAATATCCTGCGCTATGTTTGAAAGGCAAATACTCCAAACACTTTTGAATTAAGAGTGAAAAGGAAGAGAGCTATGAAAAATACAGCCTCCATTCAGAAGAATGCAACAAAGCAATCAGATAGACCTGCAGGGAATATTTAACCATTTACCTCATTAATCCAACAAACAGCATTATCATGATGAAATTGGGTGGGTAAGAGATGCGTGTTTTGTGTTGGTACAAGCAGCATGGAACAAACATTTTGATACAGCCAATGAAGGTGGTTGAAAGCATTTGAACAGCACCTGAAGAAAGATGAGGAGAAAAAAATAAAATCAGAAGATGATGGGAACTCGATGAATCAAGTAACTTAAGACAATTTTCTTAGACAAAACTTACTTTTAGCAGTTAAGAAACATGGCAGTTACTGTCTAGATTTGATGAATTCTCATAAAAGCCCTTTACTTCTACATCTACCAGCAAGGCAGCAGAATACAACAAAGGTGGCATACACCTGTGAAATCCTGTTCACCCTTTGTTTCCCCATTTAAAAACCCAATAATAAGCAGCCCATTGGATAACAGAGGTCACACAAAGGCAACTCTTCCAAGATCCACCCCCACATCTCCTAATGAGCTCTTTTTCACTGCAGTTGAACCATTTTGTCCCTTCACTTCACATAGGAAGATCTGGCATTGCCAAATACCTTACTGGAATTAAAGTGTAATTAAAGGGAAGGTTACCTAGCATGCTGGGCTCTCCTTCCAGCAATGAAAGAATGTATTTGTTAAGAAAAAGAGTGCAAAAGCTGAAGAAAAACCACAAAGTGAGGTAGATGAGAGCATGAGAATTCCAGATGCCCAAGTCCGACTCGATGACCGTGGTCTCCGTGATAGTTATTTTCAGGACGTTCTCCTCTGGCACGCTATCGCTCCTGGCAATTACAAATTTTTCACTCCTGTTAGCAAAGAGCGAACCCAAATGAAACAGCGATTTTCCCTTTGGCTTCTCTTCAACGGGGGGAGGATTAGGGTCCTCTGGTGTCTGAGCACTTGTCACAGTCGACATGCTGACATTAAGAAATTAATATTTGTCCGTCATACAAACCAACGTTGACTTAGCACAGAACAAATATATCACGTCATTAGTCTTTTATCTCCCATGGCCTGAAAAAGTTTACTTGGTCCTCCAAATAACATCTCGCATGAAGATAAACTTCACATGTTTCTTCGTGTGGTTTATTCCATTTTTTTCGGCCTGAGAATGGGGGGAAAAAAAGAAAGAAGGAAAAAACCATGTAGCTCTGAACATAACGATGTGTTAAATCCCTAACACAGCAAAGATGCCACATTTCACCTGCAGTTTATGAAAGATAAAGACTTCTGGACCTTGTCTTCCAGACTGGATTTTGCACTCCTAATATCATGATACCAAGATTAAGCACTAAGAACTTATCTAAGGAGATTTTTTAAAGCACACACACAAGACTTCACGTGTTCTTAAGTTCTTTCTCTTCTAAAGTGTGTCAGCACTGCCTTTCCCATTATAACAACTCCTCTTGGGTCTTCCTTAGACCTCTACCACTCAGCAGAGAAATCTTCACAACCCAGACAATCGGGGCAGGAGCCTGTACCCTTACTAATATTTAACCTGTTATCTCGAGTCAAAGCGAGCAATGAATAATCAGGGACTATAACTTCCAGAAATAATAAACACAGTTATCCAGGTAACTATGGGACCTGGGTGAACCGAATAGGAAAATATGCCCAAGAGTTTTCCAAACAGACGTTATCTCTATTTAATGACTTGTAAATAATGCAGCATTACCTATTTTGCTACTGCTGTACCTTGCAATTCAGTATTAGTACTTGCAATAATTCTTAAAGTCTTTTAAAAATATCTGACAGAAAAAGGTATTAAAATCATTGGCAACCAAAGCTTTCTCCTTTTACAGATTACATTAAATGTGGCCAGTTACAGTAGAAGAGTAAAAAGAGTAACAAAAACACCGTGGCCTTGATTCTTCTCAAGTAATGGTAACATCATAATGCCGACAGATCCAAAGTCTGTGTTAAGAAAGAAAGAAATGGCACCTGAGCAGCTTACCCACAGCATTAAAACACACTACCAGATTTATTGCTTTCTATTTTGCAGTCTGTATTTTATGAGAAGACAAAACAATAGGATTAATCAGATGAGAATGAAATGCCGGATGAGACCTCTTTTGCTCCTCAGCAAACAAACAACAGGGGAAATTAAATCTGAAATACTTTTTTCCAGAAGCACATTTGCTGGACAGACAAGACTGCGGGCCTTATACAGTTGAAAAGTAATTCCTAGCAGGGAAGTTGATCACTGGACATCTTGGAAAAGCTGTCTGAAATAAGATCATAATACTACAGTGCCTCAAACTATGGCAACATCAGAAAATAAATCAAGAGCAGGCAGAAACACAAGAGTTTTAACAAGAGCGACTGCCCCTGCTCCGATTTTGTTAGCAAGTGAACACGTGAGTAGAATACATTATTTTCTTCCTGCTTTTTTAATGTCCAGTGGGGCATCTCAAAATAAATCCTAAGGAGGTACTAAAGAGTTAAATGTGTCCTGTCAGTTCCCATATCCCAGGCAGCAGCTACTTTACACTGAAATTTTCCATTCCTCATTTCTCTCTTTCTGTTATTACCGCCATGCACAGAAGGTTTCCATCCCTACCCCCTTATCTCTTGCCATTTTACCAGGAAATCATGCCAGCAGCACAGCAGGGTACAAGACCCTCTGACCCTCAAACCGTATACTTGTGTTAACCCAGTTTAAGGCAAAACTAGCCAATTTGAAGGAAGATCTGCATTCCTTACGAGAATTTGTTAAGAAAAATGCATTATTGACTCCTCTTAAAAAAACCAAAACCCTCCGCATTCAAAACAGTTGTCACAACTTTTCTGTTCTATTCCCCAATTAAAAACAAAAGCAATTAAGCACAATTCAACTCCCACCCTTAGCAGCACTACGATATCACATTTGATATCTCCAATCCCACACACAGCAGGAAGCAGAAACAGCAAATAACAATGAAACTACTCCCCCTAAATCACTGACCTGCTGTCTTAAATCAACTGGAAAGTCTTAAATGGGCGGAAAGTGCTCTCCATCTGGAACTAATTGAGTCCTCCTCCCCTAAGACCAGCCAGCAGCTGATGTTTACCAATAGCCGAAAACGTGGCAGTGGTTGGCAGCCTGTTGCTCTTGCATTACTCACACTCAGCCTTCCAGCTCTCAAGAACAAACAGCACGCAGGGCATTT